TCAGTAAATAAGATAACTTAGAATTTACAAGTTGGAATCCGCAAATTTCACAAATGAACGAATATGCATTTTATCGCCATGAAATAGTCCAGCTAGATTTTGTGAGTCAATATATAGGTTGTCACATATTTGCATTGGGTAAAACTACCAGTAACAAGCATTTGTTACCAAATGGAAGCTCATGAAAACTTAATATACTGAAGAAATGATACGATTCGATGATATTGAGTAGTACCATATTTTGAATTCACCAGTTTGTGTCGAACCTTTAATACTCCGATCTCCGATTTGTTTCGAAATATTTCACTCATTTCAGATATACGCCTGAAATAAGAAACAACATAACATCAAAACTATCAGGAACTGATATACGCCAATTCAAGAGCAAATGAATCAACTCCGGCGCTATTTGTTATACCAAAAACACAATTCTCGCCTTTTTCCGATATACGCCCCTTTTTAAATTCAACGAAGATACTCTGAGACATCGTTTAAATATTTGGAGTGTTGTATTGTAAACCGAGGATGTCAAAAATATAGCATCATATTGAAACATTGATTCATTGGGAAATTGAAATGGCACAATGTTTTACAGAACAATCGATTGTTCAACACAAAGTTTGGCATATCTATCTGCTCCATCACAACACTTTTAACTTGTTTCTCATATCGGTATATTGAGAATTTTGTGCATGAAATAATATATCGAGGCCTTTTGGCAAGATAATCACACCACACTGTTTCACCACTGACCTAACCAAACTCAGTTCTGATCTTCTCCTGAAGATGCTCAACATATTTAGCGAAACACGTGTGGAGGCTCATTAAAAATCGGAATGGTTAGTGAGTGGTAGTTTGATTTCATGAATGTTACTATGCTATTAATAAAGGAGGACACATAAATTCGAATTGACCACTATATACCGAGTTTCCCCAGTAATCGTATTCAGGCAATATTTCGCTTATTTGTCGAGATACTTGAAAAATTCAAAAACTTCATTGAATTGCATTAAAGTACGTTCCTAATGACATTAAAAACACATGGTATTTTCGAATGGCACTCCTGTATATTTTTATTGGAAATTACGTGTCACTGAATTTGGAATACAACGATGCGAATACTTTGTATTTTTTTATTGATAACAAAAATATCAACATTTTGTGCCTTGTTTCAAGTTACTCAATTATCCTACTTATAAATATGAAATATTGCCCCAGCACATGTTTTTTTGATTCAAGAGGCCGATACTTCTCATGTCATAATAATTTTGTACACTTGCTGTGATTCTAAGTTCATTTTTTGATTCTCATAAAAGCTATTTTAGTTGAAATTCATACTTCATCGAATTTTACTGTTTTTGTGATAATAATAAATACCAAGTATATGCTATCGTTGTATTCCTAATGGAATAACATGCAATTTTCAATGATAATATACAGTGGGTGCCATTTGAAAATAAAAAGTGGGGCATAGCTGAAACAGAACTGTCAAATGTAATAGATTTATTTATATGTCATGAGGAAAATACTCCAATGAAATTCAATGCACTGGTGGCAACCAAAAAACCAAAAATGTGGTATACTAGCTGTATGTTTAGGACGTTTAGATCAAACGTTCATATAAAACTTACTTCTCAGAATGGGCCCAAGAATACCCCCTCCAGATATCGACATTCAATTATGAAACACACTGTATATATTTCACCTGATGATGCTTATTTGTTAGCGGAACATATCGTGTGGTTGAGAATTATGTGGAGATTTTGTCGCTTGTGATGAAAATATAAATAGTTGAGTTTTCGGAGTAGTTGAGTTGTAGTGACACCGCTGTTTTGACGTTTTTTGTATAGGTCGCGTGCACGATGACCGACCCTGGAGGCAAAATATTGAAACACAACCTCATTCTTCTGTGAATTATTGGAACACAACCTCACTTTTTTATTTGGTTTCAGAAGAATCAAAGGATTAAAATAGTTTTTCACAATATTTTGGCATACGAATCGTGTTTTTTGCGCTATTCATTAATTCGAGCATGCCTTCGCATTGTGCTGTTGTACAATGCACAAAAAATGCAGCAAGATACTAAAGAATATGATTTTTCAGGTAAATAGTAATCTCACATAGTTATCATTATGAAATGTTGGCATTCCTTATTAAAATTCCTTCTGCCTTCTGCCACTTCTGCAATACAAGCTAATACTGCTAATAGATTGAAAATGTCTACAACACACACGATCGTCAGCATGTCAGACCAGTCCTCCGGATTGATTGCATGAATCATCTTACATGAATCCTATCTTCTTGCATTGTTTTTTCTGGTGTATTTCTATTAGCTCCTATTGCAGAAGGAATTCCGATGAGAAATCAGAGAAATTACCAAATTTCAAAAATGAAAACTATTTATATGTGAGTGACTATAGTAGATACTTACTTTTAAATCATATTGTACCAACCGGATTACTTCGTCTTCCGCTGCAGTTTTTGTGCATTTCACAATAGCACAATGTGATGGCATGAGCGAATTGATGAATAGCGGAAAAATACGATTCGTATGCCAAAATAATTGTGAAAAACTATTTCGATCACTGGTAAATAAATAAGAAAAGTGACATTGTGTTTCAATATTTTGCCTCCAGTGTCGGTCATCTGACAGTTCTTGCACGCAACCCATATTAATCAATCAATTCATTTGTGGTTATGTCTGATTGTGAGTGTCAGGTACATTTAGGAACTCTAGTTGTTGATATCTGACTCGTCAAGAAAAACATCAGAAAAACTCACCTCATCTCGAAATCGTGTATCTCCTCCAACGTCAAATTGTTCGCCACATCCAGCAGCTGCTTCATGTTCTCCTCCTTCAACTTGCTCTTGTTCTTGCTCTCCTGCTGCACGTTCGACACGAAATCGGCGCCGTTCTTCAGCAGGACGGTGGCTACCGGCGCGTGATCGACGCTCAACGACGGCTGCTGCACGACTATCGTCGCCTGCGGGGCTTTCCTGCTGCCGCCCGGCTGCACCTGGTCCAGCAGCGGGTTGGTGGTCACGTTGATCGGGGAGGGGCAGGAAGCCTCCAAGTGGGCGCCCACCTGTCAAGGTCACGGGCGGACTCAGAACGGAAGGTCATGAGGGAGTTTGTTTCGCAAGGTAGGTACAGTTAGAGTCACTGGATGGTATTATTGTGACTCTAGGTACACTTATGGTGGATATATATGCTGCAGTTTTCAGTCATGAGTTTCAAATCCTTTTTCCTCCACTCGCTATACAACCTAGCAACAGTCCCAAATAAAATGTATACACAACCCTACAAATTTCGAGAGCAAATGAGTAAATTCACTCCACAAAGTACGTATTTATTCACTTATTTTATTTATTTCATTGTGTTTCATCCCTACAGATTACAAGAGTCTCATTACAGGAATGGAAATTATTATTAGGTACAATGTCCTATTAATATGTCATTAGAAGATTCTAGATGTTGGTACCATGTATGAATTGAATCTATTGAATCTAGTTGAATCTAACCTATATCCGTTACAATGATAACAATTTTATCTAAGAAATGGGGCTGTTTTCTATGATTGCGCATAATAAGAATGGATAAGAAGATCGCCTAGTTTATACATGCTGAGCGAAATACATTATGTGTGGCTGTCAAGTCTAAATCCAGTAAGGCGTTAAAGTCATTTGCTAACCTCAACATGGCTACGCCACAAGTGGAGGTCTAGTAGTGAGCTTGAGGGAAATATTGAATATGGCAAAGGATCGAGTTCTTCTTGAGGGCACGTTGAATCTTATTAGTGAGAGTATTTCGGGTGAGTTAATTTTGCTATTCATCAATTTATGTAAAAAAATAGCACTGCGAGGGTTCGTCTTTCTTCCAACGACAGAACTTGAAATTCATTCCTCAGTTGCTGAGTTCGAACAGTTTTATAGTCGGCTCGTTCATTATATCTCTTGAAATAGATGAATCTAAGAAAATTGTTTTGTACCTTTCCTATCTGCCCTAGTCTAGTATGGAATTCAACAAACCAAATATGTGCACCAAACTCAAATTTAGGTCTTATTAGACTGTACATAGATCTAATTACACGACTGTAGTAAAGTAATATGAGAGAATTAATGTTTGTGAGAATTTTAGATTGCCTAATGATATATGCCAGCTGACAGTTGGTAAATTTCACTATGTTAGTAATATGTAAAGGAAAATAAAAGTTACTATCATAGCTAATACAGAGATCTTTCACTTGATCACATCGGGTCAGAATCTCATTTTCAATCATATAGTAAAATAAGATCGGATCTTTTTTTCGTGTGATATTCAGAGAAAAACACTTTTTGATGTTGAAATACAGCTTATTTCTCAAACTCCATCTATTGGAACGCACTCCTAGAATACTTACCTCTCTGAGACACTTGTTGAGACAAACGCTGCCCCGCTTCTCCGCAGACGCCATCACGGCCAGCGTCGCGGCGCCCAGCTCAGCAGCCGCCGACGCGCGCGACGTTTCGCTGATGAAGTCCACCCTCAGGTCGGGCAGCGGCGGCGTCATGCGCGACGAGGCTGAGGAGTGGGGGGTGAAGGAGGGATGGGAGGAGGAGTGGGGGTGGGAGGAGTGGGGGGCGTGGTTGGGGCGGTACTTGGCCAGGTAGCGCTCGTCGTAGGTGAACTTGTCGGAGGCGGACGGCTGAGATGGGCAGGGCTTGTTTGGGGAGCGGGTGCGTCGACTCGATTTTTTGTGCCTGGAAAGAGAGGAAATATTGTTACTTTTACACGAAAAATGTCAAAATAGTATATTATTATAAGACACTATTTTTTCGCACTCGTTGTTTGGAGTACGACGAGCGAAGCAATGTCTAATATAACGTGTCTTCTCTATTTTGCATTCCTTTGTTTCAGTTTCACTCATATTTTAATATTTGAGTATATTTGGTTGCAATCAGGACTGATTATTTTAGGTACCTACTACACGTTTGCTTCGAAATTGAAATATTTTTCAATGTCATATCCATGTTTGTATTAGTTTATAGTGCACAGTTCTTGGTGTCAGAGAAGTGAGTGAGTTTGTGAGCGAGGCATCACCCACGAGATGAATTGCCCTCTTTTGAACAGAATCCAATAGTTTCAGGGTATGTTTGGGTTCAGCACTCCAAATATGGGAACAGTATTCCAGGACAGGTCGGATCTGTGCCTTATAGATCATAAGCAGCTGACTGGAAGTGAAATAGCTCCTGGCCCGAAACAGAAAACCAAGTTTTTGGGATGCACTTTTAGCAATTGATCTCACGTGATTTTCCCAAGAGAGGTTATTGCTGATAGTGATACCAAGCAGAGGAATGGATGTCTTCAAAGGTATGGTTACTCCTGACATGCTTATGTTTGGCACAGTGAGATCGGCTTTTCTAGAGAAAAGGGATGCTTGTGTGTCGGGGAAATCATTGAAATGAGTAGCGAACTAGGAAACGACATATTTTTGAAAGCAAGAGTTCTAATGGTAGTAATGGTACAGATTTTTGAAAACTGATTTGCAGAGAAAAGCTTCCATGCCTGAGAAAGGTATCTCAATGTGTGACTTCGTTTTCCTGTTTTACCCATTTTTGGTACCTACTTAACGCATCGCAGTTAAGTACTTTCCCCAACTCCAATATGATAAACTTGTGGAGAATATGCAATGCCAAACATACACCCAAAAACGTGAAGCGTAATGAAAGATGCGGATTCCGTATAACTTCACCACAAACATGTTTTATCCCTCTCTTCTGAGCTCTTTCTTGGCACCGACCGCAAGAAATATTTTTGAACACAAGTATAGACCTCACAGGTCAAAAGTTTGGCTACCCCTGATGACTCAGTCTAGAGTCTAGATGATCATTCTGATTTCTGACGATCTTGGGCTTCTATAAACGACGCGCCACTGACGTACACAATCAGGTTTTCCCTCCGACAACAAACCCTCCTAACTCAATTCATGTCTGGATATGAGACGATATTTTGAACTGAAATCCATCATATTGTAAGAGAAAGAAAACCAAGCCGTTGAACTCGACTTTATTATTCTGTGGACAAACTGTGGGGAATCGATACTGCTAACGCAATTACTTTATGGCAGGAAACGACGAGGAATATGGATATGATACTCCAGAATTGTATTGTTTACACATAATCAATAATGTAGCATGCAAAAATGTTTCCATCGACGGAGAAGGTATAAAATGTCACGCAGCTGAGATTGGAAACAGGATTGATAGCAGAACGAAGCCATCTGAGATAGTATATTGAGATTTTGAAACATTTCAAATAAACTGTGATTGCGAATTACTTCAAAGTTTCAAGACAACTGGAATTGCTTAAAGGAACATTTCGAAATCACCTGAATTTTGAATGATTGGAACATTTCAATATGACTCTCATTCTTGGCAATATTTCTGAAACATTCAATTGATATATTCCAAAATATTTCAAAATGATGATGATGATGATGAAGATGAATAAAACTTTTAGAAATCACTTTGAATGTGAATAATTGAAACATATCATTAACTGCTCATTCAGGAATTTTCCAATGCATTCGGAATATGTCTGAAACATTCCAAGGTACCTCAATAATTATAGATAATGAATGATGTTATAGTTCATGCATGTCCAAATATTTTTTATTCTCCATAACAAAATATCATGTGAATGTTGGAGACTTGGCAACATTGTGCTGGATGCTGAGAACTGACAAGACAGCGCCCACAAGTCGTGCGCCGTGGTTGTCACTGCAACTGTGCAATGGTCTGCCCCTACTTAAGAAATCATGGCGTCAGTTTTTACTTGCGGGAAATTTCTAGCTGTTTGAAAATTACCGTGGCATTATTGGTGATTTCAGCACCTAAAAATCGACCGAAAAATTCTTAAAAAATATGAAATTGAAAGGTATTTGAGTGATGATTCTATTCAAGAAATGAAAAAAAATAGTTCACCTGCCTATTGATGATTTTTTGTTTACTCACACGGAGGCTATGGAGGTTTTTGTTCAATATGCCCCTTTGCTGCTTCACAACGCCTTTTGACTTATCTAAATATTGAAAACGTTGATGCTCTCTGAAGAGTATCTGGGTCGTCTCTCATGGTTGCAGCTGTAGTCATTCATTTAATGATTTAGCTCATCTCTAGTTTGTTGTTTATTTGAATACACCATAGACTTTTCATGGGTCCCCAAAGATAATAGTGGTCAGGTAACCTTGGTCGATATGGACCACCTCTTACAATCCATTGGTGAGCAAAGTTGTTAATTGCTCATAACTCCTCAACTATTGAGTTTCAGACGAAAGTGTATAGGACACTTTCGATTTAAAATTGTTGAAGGAATATGCCTTTGAGCTATGGCGATCGAGTCAAGGGACACCCTGTTATATGGTATACTATGATCACTCTGTTGTTTATATTTACGAAATATTATGTCAATGATCGAAAAGTATACATGATAGCAATATATTGAGATGAAAATTTGGTACAGGGCATCATCAGATCATCCTCTTCCCAGTAATTATCTACTGTTGAGCAACGGATGAATGCCGAGTAAGAACTATAGGAGAGATACGCCAAAATTGAGTTGTTTACATAGGAGCAATTATGTAAAAATGTTTTTATTGACGTAAGCAGGGATATCACGGGTGAAGCCTGCCAAGAAAACTTCACGAGCATAATCAATTGCGTAGAGAAGGCATTGGAAATTCGTGAAATGAATGGCGTTGTTTATTTTGAAATGACCAATTTTCAATCGCGCATAACGTTCTCGATGAAGTTGATAGGTTAGTTGACAATGAGATTTGATGGATAGGTTTGTTGCTCATCCTTAATTTCGAAAATAAGCGATGATGATCGTTGAAATTAAGCATGATATTTGGAGAAAATATAAAAACTACGTAAATATGAATTTCGGTATTGACTATACCGGGTCATACAGGAGACATGTAAAAGCCTGTAGTTTTTTCATTTGAAGAGCTGAACATTTCAAATCCACGAGGGTTATATTATCGATGATGATGCTTTCCTTGAACGCAATGACAATTTTCTTCAACCACCTGTGTGAACGGAAGTAGACCCAATTTTTTTTTCAAATAGCACCCTGTTTATTTCTGTATTTCTTTATTGCCTTGGAAATCTCTATCCAACTATGTATCACAATTTGATATTCGTTCATTAATTGGCTGTTTAATTACATTTCATTGAAATACATAAAGAGTTGGCTGTGGCCTTTCGGTAAAATGAGTTTCAACAATTGTACACTGTATCCGTAATAAGGAGGTCAATCTGTCCCTGAAGAGAAATGCAAAAATATCATTTGGGAACAAAGTCATCTCCACAATTTTTCAATAGTATATGAACATTATCTAGTTTCAGTTCATGTTGAAATATTTGGACATCTACTTGGGACTGAAAATTCGTGTATTATAATAATGAGTTCTCATTATAGATACCATTTTCTATTTTGTGTCAAGCTATGAATATAGGTGTTCACCCATTCCCCTGTATTTTTACACTTGCTCCAGTCATTGTCTCCAGTGATTACACAGCAATTTCTGTCGATTTCATTGGAGACTAGTAATGCTCCAAATTGTCAAGAATTACCCCCTCACCGCGTTTTCCTAATCGAGGCAACCAACCCCTACAAATAATTATGTCATTTTATCACCATCTAGTGACATATAGTTCTAAAGTAGGTGTCGCCATACACAGTAGAACTCTGTCATCTATAGTCAACACATGAAGACCCCTACGTCTACACGCTACAAAGTGGTACTACAAATAAACCACTCTGCTGACATATGGCATTACCTGACTACTTGAGTGGAATGATCCACCAGTCCTATTCGAAGAAAATATCAGTTGAGTTGAATAACTTACCTATGTTTCGGTTTCGGCGAATCAGAATCCTCAGGTGACGAATTCATCGCCCTCTCAGCCCTCCTCTTCGGCGAAGTCTTCTCCCTCTTCTGCTTATCCACGTCCAGCTTCTTCTTGAAGCTCCTCCTGTGCTCCTTGGGGCTCATCTGACAACCGTTCCTATCCTCACTCATAACCTCAATCACGTCAAGGTTTTGCGCCGCCTGCCTGTAGCTGTTCCTCCTCCTAGCTTCGAGCTTCAATGCTTCTATCTGCTCCTCCATCAATGAGTCTACGGTACTTTTCTGTGAATAGGTGTCATTGTCGTAGATGAATCTATCGTCTCTTTTGGGAGTGAGTTCCTCCATTGGAATGGAGTTCTTCGAGTTGTGGACTTCGAAGGTGAACTTGGTGTCTGTTCTTTTGCCGGTGGGAGGAGTTCTCTGTTTGGCAGTTGCGGGAGTTTTGGGGGATACTGGTATCGGTTCCAGTATGGCGTTGGGCATCTTGGAATTGTCCAGAATGTTTTCGGAAGCGAATATATCGAGTTCTGGAAAGTCCAGGCTGTCTTCAGTTGCTTCACCGTCTGTGGCGGTAACTGTCGTTACGATTGTGTTGGAGCTGTCTGTACTTGTGTTTATCGTGTTTTCTGATGCAGTGCTGCTGCCCATCACTATCACCTTTGGTACCGGTTGATTCTGAAATAGAAGGATATTATGTAATCGTATTATCTGCTTTACGGAAATAGTCATAATGGACCAGTGCTGAAGCCTTTGAAAATGGTAAAAATTGGTAAAAAGTGGGAAACAATTATGGTAGGATGAAATCCATTGGGAAAGAAAGAGAATATAACAAAGATGATAAGGAAAATAGATCACGGGCGGGTAGGGATTGAGTTTTGATGGGTAAAAAACGGTTCATCTCGATTTCCGGCACAACTACAAGCCCTATAAAAAAGTTGAGAATCAAAGTTGTAGGTGATGAAAAGATCTCTTACTTTTATACCATCACTTTTTCTTCATATGCTAAAAATCTATATGAAGAATGCAAATGGGAGTCAAGTCATAATTTTTGTCGGTTAATCAACCGATAAGATACATATAATGATGAAGATGGAAAGCCCTAATTTCGAGTGACGGTGGTGAATGATCGGTCATCCGTCGATCAATCGGCAGGGAGGTCGAGTTCTCATCACACACCAGGCGGCAGAATCATTTCAATTCCCGAAGTCACTCGAAATCATGCACTATACGAAGCATCGCTGGCAGGATAGTACTATACAGTCTCCATATTTCCCCGTTCGTCCTCTGGCATTGTCTTTCCTTGTGTACTGAAATGTCCGAAGGCAGTCATACTTTTTGTCGGTTACTCAACTGAGAAGATACATATAATGATGAAGATGGGATGCCCTAATTTCGAGTGACAATAGAGAATGAAAAAACTCCACTCTCACACGGGTGATAAATAGCTCGAAATGAGTTTCGTTTCTTTGCAATTTCTGAAAACAATTACCATAGTTGTTATTTTATGATCACAATTCAATAAACACAAGCACAAATGACGTGGACAAGGGTTACACTTGCTCTTAATTCGGCTGCCTGCCAAACACTGTATGAGCCAGTCTTCACACATGTCTGTCATAGGCTCTGATCTGAGCACATTCCACTGAGCAGTAGCGCATCTAGTTGCTAGTCGCTAACAATAGTAATGGATGCATTTTTTACACCATCAGAAAGTAGATATTTCAACGAACAGAAAGCTAATCGACTTTTCTGAAAAAGCTGATATTAGGACGCGAAAATTTTTGGTTGAAAATCAGGGTCCTTTTTCCATATTGAGTTAATATAAGGTGAAAAAAAAAATTCCAAATCAAAAAAATCACAGTGTGTTTGAGACATCAAAATGTGGAAAAATCTCTTTGTAAGAGATGAAAATAAAGAATGAAAAACTTGGTTATTTGAATTTTTCACAAGAATATTGAAGTTATGTGAAAAAATTTTATGTACAAGAGTGATAGATCTTCTACAACCTTGCCATTCAACTTTTTTCAATAGGACTCATCAACCTTTTTTTACCCTCAAAAGCTCACCTCCTTCCACTTGCCGTCCTCAGATCCACCGTAATTCATTTTTCCTTTCATTTTTGTTATTTTCTTATCCTTTTTCAATGAGTATCATTCTACTCAATTTTTTTTTGGAGTTTCGAAAATTATTAACACTGGTCTCTAATCTGTATATCAAAACTTTAACTGCGAATTTCTGCTATTTTTCCACTTCCGTCTTTCATGTTTTCAAATATGTATGCACTTCAGGGATTTGAAGGGTATCTATATTCCCTATTTTCGGAGAAAAAAGTTGTACTTTGAATCCCTAAGGATTTAGCGTTTTTTTCAATCCTCAGGGATTTGAAGTGAATTTCTTTGCAATAAAAGCTAAATTAACAAATGAATTTTCAAAATGTCTGTTGCAATGGTGACTTTCATCATCGAATATACGATCCACAATGACGATGCTTTAAGCTTTTTTGCCTACTCCAAGAAATATGCTAGCAGTACCTTTAGAATAGTGGTGCCCGCGAGAGTCTCGTTTTCGAGAGTCTCGCATGGTCTCGTCTCGTTTTCGAGACAAGACTCGAGACGAGACTCGGACAATACGAGACGAGACTTTTATTGGTCTCGTCTCGAGTCTCGTGCAAGACTTCTCGTGTCTCGTGCGAGAGTCTCGCAGGTAAATATTTCTGCGTGCCGACTGCAGATCTGAGAATTTCATTCATAATACAACATACTTAGAAAGAATTCAGACTATTTCGCACAGATAGACAAAACATTTTATTTTATTTTTATAACTTTCGAATATATAATGCTGTTTTTTCTCTTGTTTAGATGTATATGATGTAAGTATGTACCTATTAGGTAAATTTTATTTTTTGGATGTATGATAAATTGACATTCATCATACAGGACGTGGAAAGAAATTCTGAATTGAGAAAAACCTAATCACGAATCTGCAATTGAGGTCTATAAAAATAACAAGTTTCCATCGTTCAAGTTTAATATAATTCAATGTTCGACGTGGAAAATAGCCAGGAAAGTAGTTGTTTTCTGTTGAATATTCAGAATTACATTATATATGCATATCTTTATATGAAGGAGAATGCAGATTCTCTACTTCAGAAGATTTTGTTTTCAAATTTTTATCGTGTATGTTCAATAGAGGTAATTCGATATTCGTCGTGGCATATAGCCAGGAAAGTAGTTGTTTTCTTTTGAATAAACCGAGAAAGAATTAATATTTTCATCACATGGAGAATGCGAATTCACAATGTATTTCTATATATATATATATCCATTTTTTGTGTCCATAAATATATCTGAGAATGTTTCTTCTCAAAAAATGTTATTTTTGTTGTTATTTTCTCTTTCTACTTCTACATTATACCTAAAAAGTAGGTGAAGGTAAATATCCCGTACTATAGACTGGAACAAGATTATGCATGACGAAATGCGATACATTTGCGAGACTCTCGTACGAGACGCGAGACAAGACGAGACTCGAGGGTGCGAGACGAGACTCGAGACAAGACTTCATATTTCATCCGCGAGACGAGACGAGACTTTATGAAAGTCTCGTCTCGTTGGTCTCGTGTGAATCACTACTTTAGAAATAGAGTAACTACCGTTTAGTAGCATTCGATTTTTTTTTCGTTATTTTTCCTTCAACATTTCACCTATCCTGAAGTGCATAAAATAGTATATACACCTCGGGACTCAAGTGTCAAATCCCTCCCGTTGGTCGGGCTATAAACTTTTTGTCTAGGGATTTAAAATACCACTTCATTCCCTAGGTGTATAATGTACTATTATTCCGAGGAATCGGTGAGTCTGGGTTTCTTTGAGAGTGATTATCGTTTGGAAAAACTTTGCGGTTAATTTGTGGTCATCATACGATGGCGATGATGGCTGGCTTCAAGTTCTCTGATATTTTGAATACAGAGCATTATTGAACATTGCATAGTGCGATATATTGAAAGCTCTCATCATGATGAATTTGAAGGCGAGTTCAAAGGTGATGGATCAAAATATTTATCGATATGAATAACAAATCTGCTTCAAGATTCAGAATTCTGATCACCCTGTATCTGTTCCGATAGATCTAAGACACTGACAAACCTCAGCAAAGGAAGTCTCAAAGCAATAACGAGATTTCTAACGAGGCATTGCAGACTCAAAGAACACCTAAGGAAGCTAGGCTTACAGGAGGACGGCACCTGCAGATTCTGTGAGGAGGAACCAGAAACACCCCATCACTTAATGATGGAGTGTGACGCTGTACATCACAAAAGATTGAACATACTGGGAACACACCAGCTGACTGTGGAAGAAATACCACAGCTAGACCCCCTCAAAATCCTCAAATTCCTGAAGGAATTGAATCTCGAGGGGCTGCTATGAACAAGAAATCCTTGATATAGCAGGAGCAGATGGGGCACGATAGATCTAATTGGGTCGCAGCGCATCTGTCACCATCCAACCTACCAATACCAATACCAATCTGTTCCGATTGAATGTCAGTAGATAGTGAATCGAAAGTTAAGATAGGGACATCTGAGCCGTTTTGATCGATAACGAATAGTTTCGACACAAAAAAATTCAAAAATTGAAAAATCTCGACCCCAATTGTGATGTATTGATGAAATCAGCTCTCCAGGAAGAATATAAAAATGCATTGAAATACAGGGTGTTCCACTTGAAATGACAAAGTTGCTAGTTGTTTCTGATAGAAGTGGCAACACTGTATCAATGAAAACATTTTAGACGGATATAGAATGTTCAATTATCGAAGCATCCCGATTTTCAGAATGTTCCATCTTCTCGTTCTCCATATACCTACTTCTAATAGGCCATCCACCGTGGATCACTCTGTATAGTCTTACACTCTTTATAATAGCGTCTTCTATCGTGCTTGAGAACGTTGAATGAATGTTATATATAACGTTACCGAAACTCCGCTTCTTTATGAAAAGTCTCGTCCTTTTCACATTTATTCTGAAATTATTGCTGGAGAAAGTAACTTTGTGGAGGGCATTGGGCGATGAGAGTAACACTTAGGATATCCTGATGTTGTCAAGGGTCGAGTTTAATGGATATTTCCGATCCGAATATCACCCGGATCCCGGATTCATATACGGAGTGAGTCAAGTTAATCTGTAAAACCCCGGGAATCAACAGAAGAGTTTCGTAAAAATCTGTAGTCATTTCGAGTGGTTCCATCATTCTACCATTATCTTGGCGGAGATAACAGTTGAGAAGATACATTTATGTCGCTTGTTTTTTATGTAGAAGAACTAACATTTTCGAAACTTCGAATGGAATATCTCATTGATTTTGACATAGATAGATTATGACCAAGGTTGGTAGAATTGATGAACGCGGTGTGGGGAAGTGGTAATGCCATCGAGAATTCCATTTCGGAGTCATGGGAATCAATATTCTACAACTGTCTTCAAGTATATTCATCTATCCAGCTGTGATCTAGAATTTTACATACATTTCAATAATCCCAACATTAAATTTCGAATCATCAATACCCTTCACCGCGTTTTCTGATCGAGGCATCCTTCCTCTAGAAATAATCATCAATTCTACCAACCTTGAGAAGGAAAAAAAAATCATTTGATAAGACTGAGTTACAATACGTGGTTAATCTCAGAGGTTGAAATAGGAATTCAACTACGGAGTTCCGGTTCATGAGTATTTTATTACAGATGTTCGATGCGATGATGAAATATACAGGGTTGATTGGTGAAGATTTATCTGGAAGCTATAATGAATACTTATGTTAGGACTACCCCCTTGCTGAAATCACGAGGCAAATCATTATACTAGTTTGTAAGGCTGTACAAAAATCACAAAACTCACCTATAATGAATACAGGTAAAATGACTGAATTCAGGAAACCTGGTATTTGCACTTTCTGACCAACAGCATTCACTATGAATCCGGAATAAATGTTAATGGATCACACAATGACGAAGGTTCCAAACTTCGAGAACTTGGAAACTACTTTTTGCCACACTTTTTGCGATATAGACGAGGTGCGCGAGATACCTACATGGTCTCTCCCACATAGGGAATTTTGGGACTACTTAGGCAACACATAATTCATTAATTTGTACGCTGTGTGGTATTCCACTAGGTGAAATTCCTCCCACATAATTATCATGAAGCCAATGCGTACAAAGGTCTGTTAGAATTTAGAAATAAACAACAGCCTTGGGCATGTTGGCGTTTACCGCTTCTACACCAAAAACACCGTTTTCATGAAAACTCCTAAACGCGGGGACTCCAAAATACGAGGGTAAACGAAAAGTGGTAGGACGAACACAGATATCCGAACAAACATTTAGTTCGTATACAAATTAGGTCTATACGTCTATACCGCCTTCTCCTCCAGGACTCCAATACCAGCCAGGCGAATCAGAAACGAACAAGGAAGAAATGTTGACAACATAAATATGGACTTGGCAACAATTATCGAATGGGGATCCAATAACTTGATAGATTTCAATTGAAACAAACACAAGCATGCCTTTTCACTATGAGAGCCGATCTCACTGTGCCCAACATAAGCTTGTCAGGAGTAACCATACCTTTGAAGACATCCACCTCGATGCTTGGTATCACTATCAGCAATAACCGTTCTTGGGAGAATCACATGAGATCAATTGCTAAAAGTGCATCCCAAAAACTTGGTTTTCTGTTTCGGGCCAGGAATTATTTCACTTTCAGCCAGCTGCTTATGATCTATAAGGCACATATTCGACCTGTCCTGGAATACTGTTTTCATATTTGGAGTGCAGCACCCAAACATACCCTGAAACTGTTGGATTCTGCCAAAAAAAGGGCAATTCGTCTCGTGGGTGATGCCTCGCTCACAAACTCACTCACTTCTCTGGAACTCCGTAGAAAAGTTGTCGACCTGGCTCTATTTTATAGATATCTTCATGGACGATGCTCTACTGAAATATCAACAATTCTTCCTCCCTTGGCAGTCCCCGCGAGATTGACCCGTCGAGTTGAGGGTTCGCACCCTTTCGTGGTTTTGGAGACCTGCAAAACAACTCTTTCTA